AAAAATTCTTTTATTCTTTAGTAGTAGATTATGTTCACATTCATGCACCTTTTGTTGAACAAAATAATGCTGAAACATGCGAGTTTTCCTTCTCTTTCCTCCTTGTACATGTTCAAATGTCACTAAGGCAATTGAAAGCTGTGGTAAACAGGGAAGCTGACAATTTTCTTATTTTTTCAATGTAAATAGACGTTCTAAGCTATGTGAAATACGTATATAGATTTAAATGACAATTTTTAAATAATTATGAGAATAAGTACAACATACGACAAAAAATAAATGAATAAAAAGGTTACGAAAAAGTTGGTATCTAATAAAATAAACTGGCAGTTTTTACAAGCAAATTATAATTCACGCTTTAGGTCTATATCTAGTACAAGAATACTTGTTCAAGCATGCCTTTCATCTCTTCTCTGTGTAGCAGAGGTTCACTGTTAGAAATTTTTAAAGTATTCTTCACTGGTGCACTTTATGACCCTTCCCTGCCCTTTGCTGCATTCTCCATATATGTTGTGAGAGCAGTGTGTCTAACATGCTGAGGCACTGGAGGAAGTTGTAGCAATGTACCTTGGTCAAGATACTTAGCTTGAAGATGACCCATTTCACTCTTAGTATGTATGTTTGTCTCTCCTAGTGCAAATAATTAGTACAATAAAACTTCTTCAGGTTAAAGTTTCTTTTCTCTCTTAGAAAGAAAAGTTTGTTTTTCCTGAAGAGTTACTTGTAGTTATGCAGCTCTAAATCAGCCTCAGATAATGGACAAGAAGATCAAGTGGTTGATTTTACAGTATTTCTCTTGCTTGTGTTCCTGTAACTTTGTTGCCTCACCTGACTCAAGATTCTCAGTCTCTGATATGCTTCTCTCTTACACTATTAAACAAGTGGGAGAGCAAAGTAAGAGCCCGTGCTTTCAAAGAATTAGGTCAAACTCGTATACCACATGAATCAGTAAGTGACTAAAAAATGAACATACCCTGCTGTTTTATTTATAGAAAAGAAACATTAGCATTCTCTGCAGTTCTGAACACTCCAAACCCCAAGAAAGCTAGGAAATGGTTTGATATGCAGATCATTAGTACTACAGTTGGAAAGTGGAGCTAATTGATTGTTAATGAGGAAAAGCAGTTCACTCAAGTATCACATTTCCGATCACTTCAGTGCTGTAAAAGTACATGGTATACAAAATAAACCCCAGTGAACAGTACTGGGGAGCATTCAGATTGGTTTGGATCTGTCTTCTCTGAATTGTAAGTGTTTGGATAATAAATGAGGACAGAAGCATCCTGGCTGCCTCACAAAAATAACTGCTGTCATTTCAGATACATCAGTAATAAGTGTTTTGGCAGCCATAACCATCATAGTTTAGAACCACCCAACAAATCAGTAACCTCATCTTAAATACAAATGAAATTGCAGGGACCTGCAGTATTGTTCCTTCGCAAGATAAAGGAAGGGTAGATGAGAAGTTCACATTACCATCCTTCCCTCTGCTTATACTCCAGGGTCTCTGGTTATCTATTTCTGTTTTATTCAGTGCAGCTGAGACTAGTTATCTTCCCTTTGATTTTTGAGGTCAGATCTTAAGTTGGATGTGTATTACAAATAATTACCTCAGATATTTTTTTCAGATATAAGGAAAAACAGATTGCCAAGGAAAAAACCATCTGTTCTATTACAGATGTTAGTAAATGAAATGGGCACAGAGCACTAGTCAGATGTGGTGCTGCCTTAGTATTTTTTAAGACGTATACAGACTATACAGAAATTGCAGGAGAGTTTCAATTATGATTTTAAAGTTCTTAGTATTGCTACTTTGCACAGTTCTTAAATGTAATACAGGTGCTCTCTTGGGAAAAAGAGGAGCCATAATGATTGGAAAAAAAAAAGAGCTGCTGGGTTAAACATCTTTCCTTGAGATGGTGGGTGGAAAGGTGACTTCATAGAAAAACTCCTGTGTCACCTGAGAAGACTTTTCACTCTCTCCAAGCTCATCTGGCTGTTCTTTTAAGGACAAAATTACACTGGTAGTTTTAGACATGCTTTTTAAGCCAGTGAAAGAAATACAGTCTGCATCTGTTTAGTGAGTTTGAAAAAGGTAAGTAAATTATAGCAGTGGCTCCACAAAGAGTATTTTATGTTTCTTGCTTTCTTCCCTGCCTTCCCACCCCAATCTAATTGTAAACGTGATTTTGTAAGACATAGTTTTAATGTGATGATGGCCAAATATAACCAACATATTCTGATGGAAATAAAACTGGTACTTTGGACAGAAATGTGTTTTCATGTGCAGTCCTCACCATAAGAGTGCAACTTGGCTGTACTGGCATGCTGCCACTACTGTCTTTGGAAATAACATGACAGTAACTGCAAAACTCCTTTCCAAGCATCAGACAAAATTACCTGCACCTAATGATCAGTTTCCTCCTAAGTTCAGAAGCCAGGGCAAGTAGAAGAGCCTTCTTGGAAGGGAATAGGTGATTTAAGTGAAAGAATATTTACAAAAAATGAGAATACTATCAGCTCATGAAAAGGCATTGAGTTCCTGTTTGCATCAGGAATCGCGGCTTCCATTCACAGACATGCTTTTTATCAGGCATACTGCTGCCACCATCAGCATCATCTTTTTCACAAGCAGAGCTGATAGAAGAAGGAAAGCTATTAAACTACAACGTTCTTTTTTTTTTATAGGCCCTAAAGGTATAAATTTCATTTCCCAGACAGTTGAAGTCTGTCATTTCTTTGACAAATGGAATACACTAAATAGGGATAAGCTGGATATCAGATATAGTTGGCGTGATCCAGTTCAACTCTTTCCCACATAACCAAGTTCCCATTTGTATAAAGGAGTCACTCATAGACATTATTAAAAGTTACAGTTTTCAATTTTAAGAAATTGTACAGAGGGAATTCAAAAGGAAATGTTTCTATTTGAAGTACTACTAATTCTAGGAAATGATGGCAGTTGAGAACTAGTTGAATAAAGCACATTTTTCATTGTAAAATTCTGGTTCACTTTGTTGCATTGGACATCTAAGTTCATCCCTCCCAAAATATATATTGGTATTGAAGACTGATCATAATAATTAACACTGATCTGAAAAGTTTCATTATAATACATTGCTCAGATGAGTTGTTTTTAAAGCTGTATTTTTTATATGCAACGGGGATTCTTCATTTGATGATATAATAATGTAAGATGTCAGTCAGACCTTTCCCACGTATAATATAGCATCTGTCTTTCTGCATTTATGGGTTACCATACACTGAACTAGATGCATGCAGTCATTGCTACAGACTAGATATTCCATAGGGAGACATCCCATAGGCAAGGAAGTGATGCTTTTTTGATGATGAAGTTCTTCCCCGGCCTGTAGAGAATGCCCATCATTCACTCATGTTCCTTTTCTTATATCCATGCCAGTAATGGGGTTTGGGAGGAATGGTTAGCTATACTTTGTGCTTGTGGGTTGTGATGATCAGCTGAAGAAGTGAAAGAGTAAAAAGTGTATTGAAGCTCAGAGTAACATGAAGGTCTTCTACTTTTATACCACATTCTGGAGCAATAAGTTCAGATTAATATAATGCCACTATCACCATTTTCAGTAAAGAAAGTCGCGTGAACTGGTATGAAGTGGTATTGGCAGTAGATAAATGGCCAGCCTCTAATTTACTACCATTTGTATCTTCTAGCAGTCAGTCCTAAAAGTTTCTAGAAAATCAAAACAGAGTGCCTCAACACATCTATGTTCCTGAATGATGAGTAAGAAATCGGGGAGTCAGTCTTTTAGTATTGGTAATACAGAAGGCTCCAAAGACTGACCTCTTTGTATGATACACCAAGAAGTGACAGTTTCACGGCTCTGGGTGTGCAGAAGCTCATTTTTGCATTCCTTTTAACTACTTCTCTGTCTTGTTGTCTCCTATGTGTCTCACTACCTGTTCCTCTGATTTCATAAGACTTGTGCCATGTTTGGGAAGAAGGAACAAGTTTGACCAAATTATATTTGGTCTTTAATATTTAAAGAAAGAAGTTCTTACCCCCAAATGATTGAATAGAAATTTATCAAAAGCAGACTAAGAAAATGGAATTTTAGAAAAGTGTGTACTATTAAGAAATACTCTGTTCGGGTGCTTCATTTATGTCAGGCCAGTCGGGTATACCTTGTTCATTGTTTAGGAATAACATTAATAATTTAACTAAAGATAGTCTGTAATGAAAGTCTTTTCTAATAGAAGCTGTGTGAATTTACTTCTATTTTTAATTTGATGGTTATGTTGATGATCTATAGCTCCAAGGATGTATTTCAGTAGCACAGGATTTCTAAGAAGGATTCTTTTGCCATATTTCTTTTTCTGGAGTTATAGCATCTTTGTTGAAAGTTAATTAATTTGTTGCCTGGAAAGCTCTGTTGGCCAAGTGCCACCCAGAGGTTTCTTACTGTATTTTCTGCTGATTTTTAGTCATCTTCATTCCAACATTCCAAGACAAAGCAGAGCTCTAATAAAAAGGCTCCAAGTCACTGTGTGAGTGGATACAGAGAGGGACTATGCATGCAGCATGGCCCTGGGAATTGCAAAACCCATGTTCTGCTTGAATTATCATTGGCTGTTGTGTGCCTATACTGTACTGTTACAGCAACATCACCTATTCTCTGTCCTTCTTTACTAATCCAAGTGTCAGTGCCACAATTTATTCCTTATCCAGGTACAATACCAAATAAGGACTGACTGCTCTGTATTTATCTTGTAGGAATATTGTTAAATTTTCTTTAAAAGCTTTAGAAAGTAAGTAAAATGCTTTCAGAAGTCTGTGGGAGAAACATAAGTTATGTAATTGTGCAGTATTCTGAGATGTGAATAAACAAAACTGATCCTAATTCTCCACTGTACTGTGTTCTTTTACGTCCAACATGATTTCTGTAAAGGTGACATTAAGTTTTAAGAGATGTCCGATGCTGTAGAAAAGTAATGGGCTGTTTCTCTCCTTCTCTTTTGGGCAGTTTTGGTATGAATCATGATGGAATTGGAAATTCCTGTGGGACCAAGGGTCATGAAGCAGCAAAGCTAATGGCAGCTCATATTACAGCAAACACCAACCCTTTCTCTTGGTCAGCCTGCAGTCGGGATTACATCACCAGTTTTTTAGAGTAAGTAATCTCTCAAGAAAAATAATGAGTTTTCAAAAACTTGACACCTTTCACAATAAATAGAGATACAGTGACCTGTTCTGATGGTTTAAATTTTTAGAACTAACAGACAGAAATACAGCAAGTCACTTAAGATTTTTATTGTGTAGAGCACTTTGTCTATGTAATGGCAAAAGCTGCTTCTGCTCCATTCCCCACCTTACAGTTCTCATTTTTAATCTATTCAAAACATTTTGAAGTGCTGATCATATCTCGTTATTTTATTACTCTGGGGGTGAAAAATAGAGAAGGGTAGAATTTGTCTATGAATGATGGGAATTATTTTTTTTAAATAAGTGCATAATGTGAGGGAATCTAATGAAGGGAACAAGGCTGTAGCCCTGTTGCTTGTATATTTCATTCTCCAGATTTTTTTCATGCAGTCTTGTGGGTTTTTATCTATCAATGTTCTTTGGTACCATTGGTGAGAATATAAAGATTATAGGAGAGGATGGCAGAGATCTTTATATTACTACGTTAAAATTGTGCTAACCTATACTTCTGTGGTGATTTTTATCCAGAAGTAGATTGCTAGCTGATATTTTACTTCCGTATGAAAAAATTTAAACAGTCAAAATATGTTAGTCTCAAAAATGTGCTCGTATCAATGTATACATTGGTATGTATGATGCATAATGAAGCCTTTGTCTGCGTTTTAAATTGTGGAAGACAACCACAGAAGTGTGAGTTCACTGAGAACAGATTAATAAGAGGATTTTTAAAAATGGTGTAAGATGGGCTTTATGGGAGCAAATGGTAGTTGGTTCGTAGGTTCAGTGTCATCAGTGCAATCATTCCTTTAAGAAATAAAGGTTGTTCAATAATTCAGATACTTACTGTGTTTTAGGAGATGGACTTAAACCAGTCAAGTGGTCTAACCATGAGACTACTAAGAACCAAAAGAGCTTCTCCTCTTTCAGGGACATAGCCTCAGAATAAGGTGCTGTATTCTGAATCTTACCTGAAGGGACCCATCCAGACCGATAAACTTTCTTTAGGTTGGTTCAAATGCAGCTTCCCACACAATGTAGAGGATCACTGAATTGGTCTGAAGAGGTGTCTGAGCTCCCTATAGAGTCAGTGGGCAGAGACAGATGTTTAATGTTGGTGCTGTTCAGAGGAAAAAAACTTCTCTTCAGTTACTGTGTGAGGTTAAGGCATTTAGTATCACCCCACTGAAGTGTGCACCTACCCAATTTTATGTACTTGAGTGTTTGAGATGAGTGTCTAAACTAAAAAACAGTACATAAGTCATCCTTACCTATATGTGTGATACAGGTTTCTCACAATATAAATTGAGTTTCTCAGGAGACATATGTATCTATTTGTTTAACACTACCACTATAAAAATATATACAGGCTAGTTTTGTTTTATCATTACCAATCATTTCTGTTAATTCAACACTGTTCCCGTTAGTAGTCTTTCTAGTATGTCATGCAGCCTAGTTTTAACTATGACAGAGAGTACCGTTTTCGCATCTCTTCTGAGAGATTATTTCACAATTTAGTAGTTCCGACTGTAAGCTTACAGTTCAGGTATTTTCTTGTAGCATTTGGGGGTTTGTTTCTTACTGTTACAGTTCTGCTATTCTCTGTCTCATTTACTTCTATTTGTTGCTCTCCTCTGAACTCCATTTTGATCCCATAATTGTCTTGACAATAAGTTGTCTATTGATGAAGACATAATTCAACAGATAGCTAAGAAGTAGTTTCTTATTTATGGATTTAGAGAAAGAAATGTGGTAAAATTCTGTGGCTGTGGCAAATGTAAGAAGAGCTGAACATCGTTCATAATGTTCCCGCAGTTTTAAATTTCAGTCTGAATAAACTTTCTTGTTTCTTTACTTGATGCGTATACAGTGATCTTTCAAATTTTTACTGCCAGTTAAAAACATGTTTAGCTTGTGCCTCCTCAACTTTATGTTTAATTTTAAAAATTATTTTATTATTTACTATTAACATCTCCATTATTCTTCTCCATTCCCTAGGTTTGATTCACTGTTTAAGTTTTGTTTTTCAGTCTGTGAGGTGCCAGTGAAATTGTAGTTACACTAGCATAAAGTCAGAATAGTACTCTGGTGAATCTGTTCCCATAGTTCTAATCTCTTCATTTTTTTTGAGATACATCTTTATCATTGCCAGTGTTTGCAACTCTACTTGAATTACTAAGGTCTGTGAATTTCACAAAAAAAATCATTACTGAAGATACTAAGTGATATCTGAGCTAGAGTAAAAAAAAATCTACACATAGTAGCTTCAATAATAAATTATCTTTTATAATATTTAGCTCTATTTTTGTAACCTGGAATGTAGATCATATTTTTTTCAAAGCCACCTTGGATAAACATTATTTTACGCATTGCAATTATGAATAGGTTTTCCAACTGTATAAGATACTGCATTAAATAACGCACTAAGAGCCAAAGATAACTTCTTCATCTGCTAGTTTTGCAATCTGTTTTTAAGAATGTCAGATTTCTCAAATGTGATCTGGTCATTATAAATCTATGCTTCTTATTGTTTGTGGTTCTACTATCCTATAAATGAATTGATACTTTTTTCCTTAAAATAGTTGTTTTATTATTTCATGAAGTAGAATAGCCTGTAAAACTATAGATTTTTTTCTAGTTTTCTCCCCAGCTTTTCATGTCATCTCAGTGGCAGCAGGAAGCTGTTAAGATTACACAGGTATCTGCAGGACAGCTGTCAGAAGCTTAGATCACTTCTTTTTACCCATTCACACCTTTCCTTAAGGCAGAACAGGTCTAAGAGCAGCTACTTTTCTGTTGCAGGTGACGATCAGTGAGCAAGAAACAAAGAAAAAATAGTGGGTTTCATGTAGTAGCAGTTCCCTGACTGCTCCTGTAAGAGCAGAACAGTCTGCATCCAGACAGAAAAAATGATTCCATGCTTCTTCACATAGCAACAGAGGAGGAAAATGCTGATTTAGAGCTTTAGAGGCAAAGCCTCAAGATGTTGCGTCTGTGTCTCCAGACAGATTAGACTCTGCCCCCTTTCTTTCCATTTTTCCTCAAGAATGGGAAAACAGCTGGGACAGGACCCAGTAGACTACAAACAAGGAAGACAAGTGTTTTTTTCTGTGCTAAATGAGTATGGCTAGTTTAGGATTCATTTAGCTATGTCTAACAAGAAAGGTAGAACATGATGGAATGAAATGGAGATACCCAAGCAGAAACCTGAGGCCGTGAGTCTGTATGACATACCATGACGCCTTTTAGGTTAATTGGCTTGGATCTGGGTACAAGTTTGGGCAGGTCTGTCATGACACCAGGATAATGCAGCTGGAATGAATTTTTCTATAAGCTCATTACGTATTCACAGTATTATATGGTAAGTTAGGTTAATGTGGATTTACTAGTTTACCAGCTTGGGTTACCACTTGCTAGAGCAGTTTTGCACTGTGTGCTATTTTGTAGCGTAGATACCACACTGTCCTTTATCATCAGGTAGAAGCGTTTGGAAACAGAAGTCATCCTGGTGACACTCGAAGTAGAGCCTCACCTTCATCCTTCTCTTCCTCAAGACTTTCTTAAAACTACACTCAGAAACAAATTTTCCAGACTGAAGCTACTGAGGAATAGCCACTAAGTATTGCTTAAAAGGTATCAATTCAGTCAGGCACTAGTTGGGAAAGCAATTTATTTTGTGGGATGGCTCGATAGCTGGATGGAGGATAAATATGGCTTAAAGGACGACAATAAGACACAGCAAACCTATGTGTTGCTAATAGATCTATCAAAACTCGAGAAGGATGGCCAGCCAGCACAGGCTCTGAAATGGTGGAAGAAAATAATATTTTTCTGGGAAAAACATTCCTTCTAGCACATAATAGCTGTTGTCTGTCAAGCTTTATGTTAGAGTGAAAGATTGACTGAATTCAGTTTATCAACTGGATTGTTCATAAGTGCTTTACAGTGACTTTAAATTTCACTAACCTTTTATGGAACTAAATGCAGAAATACTCATTGAGAATTGAAGGGTTGGAGGGCAGTGTTGGAGAACAGAGATTGCTGTGGGAGGAGTAGAAACCCTTAATATCTGTTTATAGGAGAAATGAACCAAGCCTAAAAATATTATTGACTGAAAACCAATTAGTATAAAATTCATACTATGTAGCATATGTGTGTGTATATATATATATAAAATACATATATAACATGCAAGTTTCATTATATCCCACATATATTTATACAGTGTGCCTATAGAGCCATGCAGATACCTAGATATAAAGAAAAGAAATTTCTGCTTAGAATTCTTTATTCAGTTACTTTTATGTTTTGTAATAAAAAAATCTGGGTGATTTCTGGAATCATAGTTCATTAATCTTGTCAGTGTCAGATAGGAGAAGGTGTTAGAAGAAGCCAGATGGTCAACTCTGTCTTTCAAAGGCAGAGTTGTCTTTGGAAGATGAGTGGAGAAGAACCAAGAGTCTTTAAACTATTTGAATAAGTAATATCTCTCACAGGAAATTCTTGGAGAGTCTAGGATTGCCACACAGCAGGATTTAGATCTGAGACTACACCTTTCTAACTCTGGAACGGAGCCAAAACTACCTTGGTCCAAGCAAACCCATGTAGACAGTATAAAAAATCATCCAATGTTTGGCCCCAGACATCATCTACCCGAGAACCTTGGACATACAAGTGGATATGCAAGATAAATACAGGATACGTCTATATATGCCTCCTATACTACCTATGGCAGATTGGCCAGTCCCCTGGTACTCCAGAAATCTAAATGAACTTTTTTAAAAAGTACAAGCCAAGGCTAGTTTTGAAAGATAAGGTCACATCAATCATACAAAAATTTCATATCTCTCTCTATGAATCAGTGGAGAAAATTTACATTCAGTATCGTCTGTTGACCTACACATTGGATTATAATTTGCTTCTTTTTTCTGTAAAGTTTACTAGGATTTTTTTTCCCTAGCTAACAGATAA